ATATATTTCGATTTGCACGAAGTTTGGTATAAAGTACTGAATTAGGTCAAGAATGACGTGTGCCAAGTTTCGAGGAAATCGGTTCAGATTTATATATAGCTCCCATATATATTTTCGTCCGATTTAAGGTAAATGGGTCTCCAAAGTCCCTATATATCTTTCGACTTGCACGAAGGTTGCCATAGGGTACTGAATTTGATATATATATATATATATATATATATATATTCATCCGATTTAATGTAAATTGTGCACTATAGAAGCAAAGATTGGCCGACCCGCACACAATTTTGTACAATGTACCTTTCGTGTGTCAAGTTTTCTTGAAATATGTATACTTTCGTCCGATTTTAAGTAAATGGTGTACTAAAGACCCATAGCTAGGTTCATTTGTAAAACGTACTGAAATTAATATAAATTAATATCGGCCAAGTTTCCTTGAACTCGGTTTAGATATGGATATAGAATAGCTTCCATATATAATTTCGACCTATTTATCAATGGATGCTTGATTGATATTACATTTTAAACAGTGAAGCATAAACAGTGAATTTTGCTTAAAGTCTATTTACAAAGTTTGGAATAGATTGCAGAATGGCATGTGTAAGGATTGATGTTAGTCGGTTTACTTTTACATAAATATCGCATTTTTAAGTTCGTTCAATTTCATGTTAATGTTCCTTCAAAAAGACGACAAAGTGGTGAAGGGTATCATATAGTCGGCCCAGTCCGACTTTACTACTTTCCTTACTGGTTTCATTGATATTTTCTAACATAATAAACGTAAGCAGTGCGTTCTGACGTGATCTTTACAGTGACTTCCAAAACATATTTGAATAGGAAAGGGAATTAACTCGTACTAGCTTTTCATAACTGAGTGACGTACTCATATACGTTACCAAGCAACCGCTCTGATTGGTGTTAACATGTCGAAGCCCAGTCTTATCTTGGTCCCTCTTTCATCTCAATTGTGAGCTGATATGTGCCGTGAGTTCACCCATAAGAACTATAAAGAAATGGGTTGAGGCGTCGGATTAGTTGCCCAAATGATTACGAGACGTTAATTTGGCTGCGGATTTATGGTTAATAGGATAATAAAAGACCTCGTCTCCAGATTCACTCCAGTAGATGAGCTAATTGCTATAATCCGTATAAAAGCGAAGTTCTTCTACATCAGTATTATTTGCGCCCATGCGCCTAGAAACTACATATGATTTTAATGCAAACATCGGAAGGGAAAATATTTTTGGTTCCACCGTCGGAAAATTCAGCCTCCATGAAAAAACATCCGACAACGGTAGTTATCAGCACCAGATTCAAGCATCTCGATATATTCAAAGTTACCAGGATTTCTCCCGATCAATCGACGAGAAGTCAATACAATCAACCAATGTTGTAATTGATGGAAGACATTCATATAGTGTTTTATACGTTCGATCGATCCGAGGAGCGAATATAGATTCGGACCATGTGCGAGCCAAGGTTCGCATTCGTCTTAATGTAGCAGCAAAGGTGCGATTGAACGCAACACGGAAACTCGACGTCGGAAACCTGCAAACACAACAGGTAGCAGAGGCTTCCTCCGCTCAACTTACCCACCAGCTTGACGAAAGCACTTCTTGTTCCGATATGAATATGGAAGCACAATTGCAAAGACTTGACAACTCCCTACAAAAAGCAGCAAAAGCAACAATTGGGTACAGAAGACCACCATCAAGAAAATAATGTTACGATCAGTGGTGTCGTTATGCTACTGAGCTGAATAACGCAGCGTATAAGGCAGCCATGTCAAATGATTGGACTATATACGAATAAGTCTCCTTCCCATGCATATAAAGTGCTATCCAGGGTGCTGTGTGAACGACTGAAGCCAATGGTCAATGATATTATTGGACCACACCAATGCTTCTTCAGACCTGACAAATCCACTATTGACCAGATTTTTTGCCCCAAATCCTGGAAAAGACCAACGAGAAACAGAGTACATTCCGCCTATTTGTAGACTATAAAGTAGCATTCGAGAGCCCTATCCGTTCAGAGGTGCTTAAAGCCATGTATGCGTTCGACTTTCCCTTAATATAATACATCTATGCAGGATAACTTTAACTGGCACAAGTACACCTGTTAAAGTCGGAAATGACTTATCAGAGCTCTTTAATAACGGAAAAGAATTCAGACAAGGTGGCAGTTTGTCGTATGATCTTTTTAACGTCCTCCTGGAAAATGTCATACGAGAGCCAAAGGCGAACAGAAATGGCACTCTGTATACCAAACAGCATATGTTACTTGCCTATGCCGACGACATCGACATAATGTGTCGAACATTGAGAGCTATAACAGCCACCTTTGAACGATTTGAGGAGGAGTCTACCAAATTTGACTGGCAGTAGATGGTGGGAAGAGCCAGCTGATGATATAAACGCGCAAGACGTCCAGTAGCTCGGACCAACTGTGGATCTTGAAAACTACAGCTTCGGGGTAGTGAACGATTTGTACACGTTGGTACCGCCGTAAACATAAATAATAACATCAGCTTTGAAATCCGGACAAGAATAGTGTTGACCAACGGAAGCTACTATGGTCTGAGTAAGCAATTCAAAAACATGGTCACCTCTCGCCAGACCAAACTCGCACTTTACAAGACGCTGATACCATGCAGAATCTGAAGCATGAGTACTTGCGCAAGCAGATGAGACAGCTTTTGGAGTGTTTGAGAGAAATATTCTCTGAAAGATCTATAGGCCGATCTGCGTTGGCGGTAATTATCGCTGTCGAATGAACCATGAGCTGTATCATCTATTCTCGGACATCAACATAGTCAAACGGGTTGAGCTGCAGCGTCTACGTTGGCTAAGTCATGTTGTGGGAAGGCCACGTATTCAATGTAAGGATCAAGTTGAAGACACAATTTCGAAACATGGAAATCTTTTTACGAAACAAATGTTCTGCCTCAAAAATTATCATTTTGAAAAGATATATAACAAATTGAAAAAGTATGGTTTTGAGTTCATCTCTTACGAATATCGACGAATTTATATTCTAAATAACTATAATCCAGTTTTCTTTACCTATTTTAAAATCAATTTTGTTGTTTTGATATTTTTCCAAATATTTTCCATATAAATTTCGTGTTTACTAACTAACCCCCCTAGAGTTATTTTGTGGTAGTTCAAATTATTTCCTTCATATTTCTTTTGCAAATAATTTACATTCTATCATAACAAATTTTCGGAAATTTGTGGTCTCAATTTAGCCTCAAATATTTATATTAAATGGAAAAATAATCAATCATTCATTAATTCATTCTAAACAAGCAATATTGACATGTTGGCAGCAGACAAACACAAAAATAAAATAATTTTATGGCTGCACGTGTGTGTGCTTATATATTTTATGGGAAATATGGGTGACCAGGTAGTAAAAAAAAATGGTGTACATTATTTACAATCAGGATATGTAGCATATTATAAAGAAAATATAAAGATTTAGCAAGTTGCAGTCAGTATGGAAAGCAAATGTGACTTATATAAGGGTTAGGATATTTTACCACATCTCATGTTCACGTTCGTGAAATGGCTATGTTTGGAACACCCTGTGTTTTTAATGTCGAACCATCACAACTCGGGTCGATCTGGTGACAATGGTGGGCAGCTTGGGACTTTTTGTTGGATGCTCAAATGGCGTACTAGTTGGAATTAAACTAGCGAATAATAGTTTTTTTTATTATAAAATTTTGTCACTCGTTGTTATATAGTTGAACAGAACGAACGTCTGTAAATAAATTTTGTTATTTTTATTGAAAAGAACGGTCGTGTATTTAAATTCTTATTAAAAAATACAAATAAAGAGGAAAGTGAACTTTTCCCAATATCCCGAGAGATAAAAATAAAAGTGTTTTTTATTTATTTGAAAGTTTGTGCCTGATTGCCGTCGTTGTTCCCGCTGTGCTCCACCGGTGATTTTTAGTTGTTGTTGGGATTTTGCCCAAAAAAGTTTTGAAGCAAAACATCGTCCTTCGAGCCGGATACGGAGTGCGAGGAAATTTTTCCATTCATATTGTTGAATTTTGGGCGAAAATCAGGTAAACAATATTTTTCTGGGATAATTTAATTAATTTTTGATAAAAAACAATCATAATTGCAAATTTGCAACATTTTTCAAAAATTATTATTTATCCCATTTTATGTGTAGAAAGTGTTGATCTGGCAACGCCGTCACAGCTGATCGTCGCTTTGACAGATAACACTAACAACAAACAGTGGATTACTCGTTGATCTTCTTCTTGTTTGTTAGTTTTTTTTGGTTTTTCTTTTTTTTCGTTTTGCCTTTTATTTACAAAATTTTTATTTGTTTTATTTATTGTAAATAAATAAAAATTCTATAATTTTACAAAAAAAGAAAAAAAAAGAATAAAAGAAATAAATATTTCAGTGAAAGTGGTCCAAAGTGTTTTTTGAAAAATTAATTGAAAATTTAATACTATTTTTGGCAAATTGGCAAAAAGAACGGACGGACACCTGTAAATATTTTTTGATTAATTTTATTTATTAAAAGTGAAATTTGTCATTGCTAGATGATAAAGTGCTTAATTTTAAAATAATCAAATTTGTTTCGGTGTTTCCCATTTGTATTTGGTGCGTATTTTGCATTTTTTTTTGATTATTTTCATTTTTTCTTTCATTGTTGCTGTCCATTGTTTACATTATTGACAGCTGTAATATACGTGAAGAGGAGACTTGTAATAACAAGGTGACTCGTCCTTCTTTCATTGACTTATCGTATAGCCAAAGGGAGACTTGTAATAACAAGGTGACTCGTCCTTCTTTTATAAAGTTCAAATTGAATTTTGGGTTCTTAGCCAATTTATAATAAGTGAATAATTTTCACGTACAAAATCTGACATTTGTCATATATTGGGTAAAATCCAGTATTTTTACCATCTTGAAACCCACTTTTTAGTGATTTTTTGGTTGAGATTGTAAGATTTATTGAAATAAAAGATGGCAGATTCTAAGTTTTTACTCAAATTTAAGGCTCTTGCGACATTGTTGTTGGATTTTGAAAATGAATATAATGCCATAACACCAGGTGAACTTACTATGTTCACTATGGAGCCTCGAAAAGTTGAACTTAACCGACTTTGGTCTAGGATAAATGAATCCTATGAGAATGTTTGTGTTGAGTGTAGTGTATCTAAAGAAAGGGAAGAGGCGTCACAACTTTATAGACAGTGTAAGGAAGCATATATGAGTTGTGCAGCGCAAATGGGCGAATTATCTCAGTCCTTTGTTGAACAGTCCGCTATGTCGTCTACAATGGCTAGCCCTAATCATATACCAAGGGCAGAAAGATTGGAAACTTCTTTTGCTGACCATCGTCTACGTTTGCCTCCGTGCACCACAGAAATCTTTCACGGTGATTATTTGTCTTGGCCGTCATTTAGAGACATGTTTAAGGCAGTTTATATTGATTGTAGATCCATCACCCCGGTAGAAAAGTTGTTTTATTTGCGTCAAAGTACACAAGGGGAAGCTTTAGAAATTGTTAAAAAATCTCCTTTAACAAATGATGGTTTTGAAAATGCTTGGACAAATCTGAAAGATCGTTATGAAAATAAACGGATCTTGGTAAATAGTCAGTTGAAAATACTTTTCAGTCTAGAATCAATAAAAAATGAGTCTGCTGGAGAAATAAAACGACTTCAAAGGGATATTAATAATTGTATTACGGCTTTGAAGTTACACCAGGTGAATATAGAAAGTTGGGATCCAATATTTGTGTTTTTATGCTCCACTAAATTACCCACTAACACCTTATCGCTTTGGGAGCAAACGGTTAGTAATAAAACCGAGATAAGCAAATGGTGTGATCTTGATAGTTTCCTGACGGCCAGATTTCAGTCACTGGAGACTGTATATGATTTAAAGCATACTGAAGATGCTAAACCTAGTGGAAACAAAAATCCCCACGACGATTCTCGATCAAGCAGAAAATTTAAATCTTACCAGGTGAACATAAATCAAAAATCTTGTTTTGTATGTTCGCAAGATCATTGGTTGAAATCTTGTCCACAGTTTTTAAAGATGAATCAAGAACAAAGGTTTATTGTTATAAAGCGAAACAATCTCTGCCTAAACTGTTTCAGTAATAACCATAAACTTAGTCAGTGTACCAAAAAAATTAGTTGCTCAAAATGTCGTTTAAAGCACCATACCCTTTTGCATAGAGAGTCTAAACCATCAGAGTCTATTGCTATTGCGAATTCTGATGCCCAGCCTAGCACTAGCAGGCAAATTGCTTCAAGCTCTTCTAGTAGTGGACCGACAGTGCAGAATTGCTTTGCAGCTACTCGAAGACAGGTTCTCCTGGGAACGGCCATTGTTCAAATTGATGTAAATGGAATCATATTTTCGGCTAGAGCTTTAATTGATTCGGGTTCTCAGGCCACATTTATTTCCGAGAAATTGCAACGACAGCTCAATCTTCCAATTAAAAAGGTCAATGCGAGAATTTCAGGTCTAAACGATGCATTAGCGGGATCGGCTGAAAAACAATGTACATTTGTTTTGAGATCGCCTCATAATAGCTTTGAGATGCAAGTTTCTAGTTTGGTTTTACCAAAATTGACGGGAAAACTTCCTACTTATACTTTAGACATTCCTGACACGTTTTCTTTAGGCATTGTGCCCTTAGCCGACCCAAAATTTGCTAAAAGTGATCAGGTCGATCTTCTGATAGGAGGTGATATTTATCCTCAAATTTTACTGAATGGTGTGCAACGAAATGTTTTAGGTTCTCTTGTGGCACAAGAAACTATTTTTGGTTGGGTTTTAACAGGTCCAATTTGGAATGCAAACCCAAGGACGTTTACGACTTGTGTCTCGTTTTGTACGGCTGTAGAGGTGGATAAGATTTTAGAAAAATTTTGGAAATTAGAAGAGCCGCCTAAAATCTCAGAATACAGCGCTGAAGATGAATATTGTGAAGAGGTTTATAAGAAAACTACTAAGAGATTATCGGATGGAAGATACGTGGTTTCTTTGCCTTTCAAGCCTCAGTTTGCTGATGGAAACAGTTTGGGGGTTTCAAGAACAAGAGCTTGTCGACAATTTTTGAGAAATGAGATGTCATTGTGCAAAAAACCGGAATTCAAGTCCATATATATGATAATGTTTTGGAGGAATATGTGACACACTTGGTCATATGATGGAGGTGACCCATAGTCTAGAAGATGTATCCTCCTTTTATATGCCGCATC